TGGTGAACGCGCTGTGATGCGGTGGTGAATGGGTGGTGGATGTGCTACGTTGTGGTGGTGAACGCGCTGTGATGTGGTGGTGAAAGGGTGGTCAGTGTGCTGCGATGTGGTGGTGATGGTGGATGCGATGTAGCGGTGAAGTGATGGGAAGTACGGTGGTGATGATAGGAAATGTGATGTGGGAGGCTGGTGAACATGGTGTAGCCAAGAAGATAAGTGTGAAGATACGGTGAAAGTGAATTTGGATATCAAAATGTTGTAGTGATGGAGGTGAACGTGATGTGAAGATGGAATGTTGGTGGTGATGCTGAATATGATGTGGTGTATAGGTGATGATACGGAATGTGATGGTCTGTAGGGTAATGCAGTAAGACAGGTGCTTATTACGTCATCCTGTTGGCGCTGAGTCTGATGCATGCACGCGTGGTGTTGCTTCACTGGTGATGTCAAAGTTAAACGCAACCCCAACTCCCTACCTGACAGCACTCCTTGGCTTCGTGGAGGCGGCCGAGTTTGCGCAAGGGCGTCGCCAGAGTTACGAGCGAGAGCCGCTGGAATTTCGAATTGAGATCGCTGATATGAAAACTTTTCGAGAGCTCAAACGCTTTCGCGCTGAAGGAGAGCGATTTCTCGAAGTCCTGCAGGAGGCAGAACGTGTGGCCGAGGCCGCAGTAGACCTGCAACTCGAGCGCCGTGTCGTGGATGCTGCGGGACACCTTGAGGGCCAGCTCGTAGTGTTCGATGGCCTTGCTGAAGCTGGAGTAGACGAGGTAGGTGTTGCCGAGGGTGAGGTGGACGTAGCCGGTGGTGCGGGACTGGTCGCACTGGTTGTAGAGCGAGTGGCGGCAGTACGACACCGCCTTCTCCAGGTTGCCGAGGCGCTCGTTGCCGCGGGCCAGCGTCAGGTAGGCCTCGGCGCGCAGCATCGGCGAGTCCATCTCGTTGGCGATGTCGAGCTGCTGGAAGCCGAAGTCAAGCATCTCTCTGGAGGAGAAGAAGGCACGGGCAGGACTGTGAATTCTTATGGAGATACATTGATTGGTAGACAGACAAGGAAACAGACTGATACATAAATAAAGACTGACAAACTGAATGGTAGGTAAACAAAAGACAAGAATGATTCTTAACGTACTCTTTATATAATATAAAAACCCTTCTTTTCCATAGCCTTCTAACCGTAAGAGAAAAGGCAGCCTAGTACATATTCCTTCTTAGCACGTATGTCTATTACCTCTTCCGCGGTTAGTCATCACAACACATCTATCAACTTATAGACAGATCCGTGGAGACTCAGGGGAGCTGGAGGATTGGAAGGGAGGAGAGAATGGGAAAAGACAGACAACGGGATAAAGAGCAGGAAATGGAGAAATAGAAGGAGAAGGAAGAATGACGAAGAGAGAAAAGGAGATAAAGAGAAAGGCAGAAAGAGAGAGAGAGAGAGAGAGAGAGAGAGAGAGAGAGAGAGAGAGAGAGAGAGAGAGAGAGAGAGAGAGAGAGAGAGAGAGAGAGAGAGAGAGAGAGAAGCCGGGTACTCTTAAAGAGGAACAAGGAGTTTGTCAGTATTCATGAGGGTACATATTGCAGGTTCGTGTGGTATTGGAGAAGTGGCCACACACAAAAATAAAATCAGGGTCAAATGCTTTTTATCTGACATAAATGCATCTAAACGCATGTGTAATAACAAGACAAGGATAAACATTGTGAATTGAGAAGGTAGAGTATAAACGGTATCCTTTTTATGATTCACTTATCCTCTTCTCATCGCTTTCTAGTGTTTCATTCATTTGCAATTGCACCCTCATCAGTGCACACAGTAAATCAATGCCCAGGTGTGATTTCAAAACGACAGCATAATGGCAGCCATCACCACGGTTTTGCTTTAGTTATCCATCTCCTTTTTGAATGAGAATCGATTGAATATTTTCTTTCATTCTCTCCGGCTCTCTTCCGTTTCCTCCCTCATTCGAATATCACTTCCTCTTTCCTTTATTCCATACCCTACTCCTTCTCTTTCAACCCCTTTCGATTTTCTTTTCTCTTCTCTCTCTTACTTCGTTTCCTCATTCCCCCATTTCTTTTTTCTACTTCCTTTACCGTTCTCTTACTCCCCCTCCTACTTCTCCAACTCCTCTACTCCCTCTCCCCCTATCCCTATTCCCTACATCCTTTCCCCTCCTTCCTCCTGGCCTTTACTTCACTCCCTTACCCTCTTACCCTACTCCTCTCCCACCTCTTTTACTCTATGTACCTCTTCCTATACCCCTTCCTACTCTCCTCTCTCTCTCTCCCCTACCCTCTTCCGCACTCCCCCTCTCTCTCCTCTACCCCTTCCTGCACTCCCTCTCTCTCTCCCCTACCCCTTTCCGCACTCTCCCTCTCTCCTCTACCCCTTCCTGCATTCCCTCTCTCCTCTACTTCCCGTACCCCTTCCCTTTCTCAGTCTCATTCTTCTCCTACGTAGCTATGGACATGGTCGTCGAGAGAACAAGAGAAACGCGCA